TATAAAAACAAAGAGCTAATACTGGTCACAAGCAAAAGGTTTCCCTTATTCCATTAGAGGAGGGAAACAAGACACATGTGCCAGGGCCTCCTCTGATACCAAGGAGACCTACTTTAGTGTGGGCAAATCTCAATACATATACCAGGGGTGGAGAACCTTCGGCCTCAAGGTCACATGTGGCCCTCTAGGTGCTGAAGTTTGGCCTTTTGACTGAATCCAAACTTCACAGAACCTTGTGAGAACAAAGTGAGATATATAGCCCATACAATGAGGGTTACAGCAACAATAAGATAAGTTTGATTCATAGCAGGGCTTCATGACCAGAACATGGGTACTGCAAGTGCTAATTCAAGCCAGAGAACATCTGGTACTGGTGTGAAATAATTCTGGGATTTTGCTGTGGCTGAGTTCATCCAGAGGGTGAGCACAAAGGATTGTTGTCATGCCAGGCTCAGGGCAAAGCTTGCTTGCTGGGCCTTAGCTCTGGAAAATGGGGTGTCTCCTAATAGTAAAAAGAGAGGAATAAAAAGAGAAAAGTGGTCTTGGCATGGGGATCCTGACAACTATATGTGTTAGTAACAGAGGTTTTGTTTTTCTTTCATAATCAATGGGGATATAAGAAGGAAAAAAGATAGATTTTTGTTGATTGAAAAAAATTTAGTTTAAAAACTGAAATATTTTAGCTAAAGTAAAAAAGACAAAAATAAATTGAAAGAAGAAAATGGAATTATAAATGAATAAAGAATGAAAAGGGGGCTGCTAAATTTAATCAGAAACTTAAATATAGTCAAAATAGGAAATGTTGGTTGAATAATCTATAGGGACATTCGATTCCAATTGGTTGGTAAGTTCTTTCTTCATTACGACTTTGTTAAGCTACTTTTTTAGTCCCCAATTTCCTTAATACAGAGGTTCCCAAACTTATTTAGCCCCTTTTCAAGAAAAAAATTACTCAGCACCCCACTGGAAATCTCCTTTCTTTAACCCTTTACCAGTTTTTTTTTAATTTGTGTCATTTAAAAAAATACATAAAATATAATAATTTATTGTAAATTTGTGGGGTTTTTCCTGCATTGAAATTTTGATGACACAATATTGTGTCATGTAGCCATATAGAATCATATTGTAAACAAGTCACTACACCCACATAAACCTGCCAATGCATGCTGGACTTCCCGATGATGCATAACATGCTTGCTTACCAACACCTGTTGGCAGACTTGACAACTGGTTATGACTTGCATTTTGTGTGTTTATTTGGAAAATAATGTAATCACTATGACTTTAACTCTGTTACACAACAGATGAAACATATAGTAATGGTTTTTCAAAATTTTCTTCTCTTCTCTTCTTTCCTTATGCTTCTACCACCCCTTTATTTTTATTCAACACCCCCCAATTGCACCCAAGGCTACTACCACCCCCCTGGATCATTCTAGTGTCCCCCAAGGGGCAGTATTACCCACTTTGAGAACTTCTGCTAGCAGAAAATGAGCAAGTTTAATAGGTGATCATGAGCAAATATTCCATTCTGAATTCTTGGGCTTAGTCACTTACTCTAATAAGAACTATCTTCCCCCCTAGTATCTGCAAAAATAAAATTACAGTCTTTTCAGTCTAGAGGAGCCAGGAGAGTTTAAGTTTAAAATTTAGTCCTTTATTTTGTTTACATGACAATGGATATTAGCTTCAAAAATTATTTTATTCTTCCTTGTGTAAAATACAGACAGGGTGTCCAAAATAATGGTTTGGGTAGTAGAAAACAGTAACTCATTGAGTAGACTCAGAGTTAAGCAAGTGCTTGGAGAAATGATGATATAAAAAGACATATAGGAGGCAGCTAAGTGGATAGAGCTCTGACCTTGGAGTCAGGAGGACCTAAGTTCAAATTTGACCTCAGACACTTGACACTTACTAGCTGTGTGATCCTGGACAAGTCACTTAACCCCAGTGCCTCAAAAAAAAAAGACAGATAATAGATCTTCAAAGAATACCCTGATGAGAGCTCCTAAGACTTTGAAAGCTGTTTATTTTTACAATATTGTTGTCATTATATAAATTGATCCCCTGAGTTTTTTTTTTCACTCCACTCTGCATCAGTTCATACACGTCTTCCCAGGTTTCTCCAAAACCATCCCCTTCATCATTTATATCATTACTATGACTGATCAGCTATATCTAGATAAACACTTTATTCTCTCTCAGCAGAAACAGAGGATAGTCATAGAGATGGAATTACAGCTCCTAATAATCCCATCCAAGACTTAGATGAAACAATCTTTTAAGTTACAAATACAAAATTAAAAATAACCCAAGGGACAATGGAACAACACTGGTAGGTAAAGGTACACTGCAGAAGGTTACCAAAAATTCAATTCAATTCAATAACATCTATTAAGCACCTACTATGTGCCAGATACCATGCTAAGCATTGGAGATAGAAAAAGAAAAAGGCAGTCCCTGCCCTTCAGGAATGTGAAATCTCATGGGAGAAGACAACACACAAAAGAAAGTTGAAAAGAAGGGAGAGGGAGCCATCAGAAGGTACCCTGTACAGGAGCATGATGTTCCATCAAAACCAAGCTTATGGAAAATGGAGAGTTAAGAAGTAACATGAAATAAGCAGATGACTGGCAAAGAAGATGAGTTAATCATACAGTCATAATGCAACAACTGATGGACAGCTGGGTAGTACATTGTTAACCCCTAGAAATTTAAAACAACTAAAGGAAAGTCTATAGCAGAAGTGTTAAATGTTAAAAGTGTTAAATGTTAAAATGTTAAAAGTGTTAAACCTCCTAGCAAAATCAGAGGGAGGCCTGAACCTAAAATGTAATTGGGAAGTGTTTAACAAACTAAATAAAAATGAAATCAATATAATGTTAAATTTTGGTTTCTAAATCAATATGCAACCTGCAGGAGTCCATTTCTATTTGAGTTTGACACCACTGGTTTACATTATGTTGGGTCAATCATCTATGAAGGATTAGCAGAAGACACCATTGAGAACCATAAAAAATGAGCAGACTGATTTGATTTAGGCAATATCCCAACTGATGAAATCATGGGTCCAAGATTTATTTATTCACTGAAGTTTTTCTAGTTATGCATTAATGATTATATCTCGTCTTCCGTCTAATGACATACTTATATGTAAACATTGATAACAGATGCAATTTACCAAATATTAAAATACCAAATTTTCATAAACATTTCATGTTTATGTTTCATGTTTCCACTCCCTCCCCCATTTTCTCAATCCACCACTAGTTTTACTTTACTCCCTTCATAGTCCTGACTCAACGGTTCACCAGTTCAGCTATTCATTATCTTCTCCTTTTAAATCCTTTGTCCTCTTATTCTATCATCTTTTCCAGCTTACCACCCCCCAAAAAAGGGTTATTCCTACTATCTGCCTTCTCCATTCCTGATTTTTCCTTCTGGAAGAAGTCAGAGAACCACACAGTCTTAGATTCACTACAAAACTATGGATTCTAATCCCAACTAGAGAGTAATCTTATTCTTTCCTGATTGACTTTCATTAAAAAAAAAAAAAAAGCATTTGTTTTGTTTTTACATCACCTTTATTTCTCCCCCTCCCCAGTGATCTCCTCTAGTATAATAGAGGGAAATGGTCCAGACAGTCCTCATCAATTGATTCTCACCCCACCACTTGTAATAAAGAATCAAAATGAAAGGGTGTGAGGTTGGGAAGTAGTTCAGTAAAACTAACCAATTCATCAAGGAAGTTTAACAATGGATCTGACAAAATATACAATGTTTCACATCCACAGTCCCCTAACTCTGCAAAGAAGAGAGGCAAGTGCAATTTTTTTTCATCTTTTCCTCAGGGTCAAGCTTGCTTTATTATATTACACAGTGCTTAGTTTCAGTTTTCATTGGGTATGTTTTCCTGGTCCTGCTTTCTTCTCATGCTCCATATTCATCCTCATTGACTTTCTATCAACCTATGATGACCTAAAATGATGTTCTAACTCTTCTCTTCTCAAGCCCCCTACTCTACCACTGCCTTTTCAGCAAAGGACCTCATTTCCTATTTCACTGAGAAAATTGAGGCCAACCAAAATGCACTTACTTTTTCCATACCCTAAAACATCATGGTCTTCTATTCTTTCACCCTTCTCCCCATCCTCTGGGGACGAAGTAGCCCTTCTTACCCAGGATAACCCTTCTACTTACGCTCATAATCCCAACCCTGTTCTCTCTCTCATGTTCAATCTCTTATTTTCTGGCTCCTTGTACACTAATAGCAAACATATCTATATCTCTCTCATCCTTAAAAGACTTTCTCTTGACTCAACCATCTCTTCAAGCTATTATCCCATATTTTTCCTTCCTTTCACAATCAAATGACTAGAAATCAATCAATCAACAATTATTTATTCAGCACCTACTATGTGTCAGGCACTGTGCTAGGCACTGGAGAAATAAGTACATAGAGTTAAACTAATATCTCTAGTGCCTATCACAGGGCTCTGAAGATAGTAGTCATTTAACAAGTATTTATGGAATGAAATGGAAGAAAATTGTTTCTGTTTCCAAACCCTGTGGGATCCTTCCTATTAACAGACAGAGCCTATCAGGGAACACCTACCCTATCCTACTGACACAGTGAGGTTGCAAGTGCCCTAAGGCCAGGAATGCTTTTATCCTGGAGAAGATGGAGAAAGAAAATAGGCCCCTTAGATCCAGGCTCCTCATCCTCACCAGCCCAACAAATAACTTAGAACCAGATTATAGAAGGCCTTGGGAATTTTAATTTTTTCTATAGGCAAGGGGAGGCTATTTAAGATTCTCTAGCAATAGAATAACAATCAAAAAAGATCAAGAGGCACATCAGATAAATTAATCTAGCAACTAAGTGGTTATGTGGAATACATAGTAATAGTTAAAGAGACTTAGTTTATAAAAATAATAATAATAGCTGACATTCATATGTATTTTAAGGTTTGCAAAGACCTTTACAAATAGTATCACATTTTATCCTCCCAATAACCCTGGGAGGTAACTTCTAGTATTATTCCCATTTTACGAATGAGAAAACTGAGGCAAATAGCGATGAAGTCTAGGGTCTCATAGCAAGCAAACATCTAAAGTGATATTTGAACTCAGGTTTTCCTGACTCTAGGTCCAGCATTCAATCCACTGCACTGGTTAGCTGCCTCTTGATAATCAGACTCACTAGATTCTGGAATAGGTATTTTATTACTTTCCTCTCCTCTTGGCTCCTCCTGTGGAGGTGGATGGCTTATTTTGAGGAGGCTTGGAGTGAGACTTGGGTGACGGTTTATTATTATAATTGGATGAGTGTCCTGTTTGGGAAGCAGGTTTTGTGTACTGACCCTGGTATTGTTTATTTGCACCTGGCTGACAGGCAGATCTTAAAGGCCTCCCAGTTCTGGCTGGTTGAGGTGCGTGGGGTACGGTGCTTCCTTTATGACAGGACAATTTCACTGGCTGCCCAGCTGCTTCTGATGGCTGAGATCTCTGGGTCCCAGATGTTCTTCCTAGTTTCAATCCCTGTGATTGGGAGGCTGGCCTCCTACATGTTTCTGTAGACTGTGCTTCTGCAGTCTGGTATTGTCTTGAACTTGATGCTTGTCTCATAGGTTCCTTGGTCACTCCTACATGTTGGAATCTTGGGTTCCAGAACCATCCTGAATGGAAATTTGGTCTAATAGGTAGAATAGATGTTCCTGATGGCTGTGGTCCTAGGGTTTGCAATTGACCTGCCTGGGAGGTGAATCTACTGGGTCCTAAACTTTTTGACTGAGATCCCTGGTATGAGGCCTGTACAGTTTGAGAAATGAGTCTGGGTGGTCTTACCAAATACTGTACCGGGGGAGATCTAGAGGATTTCACTAATGGTGCAGCTTGATGAATTCTCTGAGGTTTGCAAGCCCCTCTACCAGGACTTCTGCCTTGTGTATTGGCCCTTCTATTGTGAAAGGCCAGAGGGTTTAACCATCTGGGCCTAACCCCTGGCCACACATTGGAGCCCATGGCCCAGTTTGGTCTCAGACGAGCCTGGTAAAGATTACCCTTCATTATGGTCAATGGGTGCCTCCAAGCCCATGGGCCAGAGGTAAATGATGGAGTGTGGTAGAAAGCATGAGGTTGGGGGTGGACTCCCCTAAAAATCCTAGTCTCTCTTGCAGCCATTTGACACTGGCTTCCTGGTAGATGTGTGGCATAAGTATGGCTCTGGAGTACTTCATCCTCACCTGCTTCAGTTGTGGCTTCACTAAGGGTTCCTTGGACACCGTGGGCTTTCTCACAGTCCTGATCCACCTGGATCCCCAACTCTCTGGCCAACGATGCCATATCTTCCACTGACACATGTCTAAGAGGAGAGCGCATTACCTCCTTCAGAGCTATTTGGAGGCCCTCTGCAGACCTTCCTCTATCCTCCCTATCACTCTCCTCTAGAAGCAGTAGTTGTGATGGCTTCAGTTTCAGAACTCTCTGGAATAGTTGGGCTTCCTCACTCTCTTTAGACTGGGGACTTAAAATGAAGTAGCATCTTTCCTTAACAGATTTTCCTAGAAATGCTAGTAGGTCCCACTCCCTCTCACCTGGACAGTCAATAAAAATGAACATAGCTGAGGAGACCTCCATTAAAAAGCCAAACTGTGTCCAGAATAACTCCAGATCTCCCCTAAGGTTGGCCACAGCCACAGGCTCTTGGAAAATGTCAGGAGTTTCCTTACCACCACCACTGTTAGGGAAATACCAAGTAATTTCAACCATGCCATCAGAGATTTGCCGAGGAAATAATGAGGCATGGGAGTCTCGGTGAAGAAAGATGTGGAGAGGCTGCTTTTGGGGAGGGCTGAGCACTGCATTAAGGATCTTTGATTTAGATGAACCACAGCACCCCAGTCGAACAAAAGAGATAAGTGGCATTTTCATAAACACTAGAGACTCTACACCAACCTGAGCAGCACCTCCTAGGTAATGTATTGAGTCCTTTGGCACAATGTTCTTCATGGCCCCCAGCATCAAAATACACTTACTGTTCTCTGCATCTGGTAGCAGCAAGGGAAGGGCAAAGTGACACTTAAACATGTTCCCCAAGACCTCCTGCTGCAAAGAGGTGTCAGAACAAAGCATGATAGCACAAAGGACATCAAGGGGATCAATGGTCTCTTTGTCTCTAAGACCCATATTTTCAACCTTAGTGATCAGTCCATCTTTGCTATCCTCATCTGTGACTCTCTGGCTGAGGACTGTATCTCTGGCAGTCACATCCAAGGACTGAATTTTCACTAGGAAATTCCAGGCTAAGTCGGCTGATGTCTGAGGGATCCAATGACATCCATGGTCCAAGTGGAACTGATGAACAAAACTTGGTAGAAGCTTTTTATTCCTGTCCATTGCCAAACATGACAGGATTTCTTTAAAGGTTTTTCTTCTCTCTAAAGAAACAGAGGCAACACAGTGAATGGTAAAATAGTTATTAAAAACAAAGTTAACTTTGGTGACTAATTCTTTATGGAATTTATCTATTGCTTAGAGAGAATGTAAATCTGACTTCCAACCAACAAGACACTTCTCCATCCTCAACTTCCTCTCCCAGTGCCTGTCTATCCACAGACACTGCAATATAATCTGTTTCATTACCCAAACATTTTCAATAACCTGAACTCATCCACAGAATGGCTGGAGGTTAACAAGAGATAGATATAAATGTAAGTCATACTGGCAAAGATGACACAAAATAAAGGAAAAGGACAAATATTGGAGGGGTTGTGGGAAATCAGCTGATGCACTGCTGAGGAGCCTATGAAGGGGTACAACCATTCTAGAAAGCAATTTAGAATTATACACAAAAATTACTAACAGTACATACCCTTTCACCTAGCTATACCACTTCAAGGCCTATACTCAAAAAAAATCAAAGAAAGAGGAAAAGTGATAGAAAAAAACTGGAAACTAAGGGGATACCCATCAATTGGGGGAATGGATAGATAAATTGTGATATATGAATGTGATGGAATATTATTATACTGAAGGAAAGAGGAAATGGACTACCTCACAGAGATATGAAAAGACTTATGAACTGATACAGAGTGAAATAAGTAGAACCACAAGAACAATTTATACTCTAATATCAATATTATAAAAAGGAACAACTTTGAGGATTTTTATAAACTGATGAAGAATGAAATAAGCAGAACCAAGAAAATAATATTGTACAATAACAACAACATAATAAAGACAAGCAACTTTGAAAACTGTAAGAATAATGCAATGATCATCAATGATTCCAAAGGACCAATGATAAAGTATGCTATCCATGTCCCGGCAGAGAGGTAAAGAATCCAGGAAGCAGAACATTACATATTTTTTTAACATGCTTAATGAAGAAAACTGTTTTGCTTGACTATGCATATTTAATACAAGAAATTGATTTTTTTTTTCTTTTTCAATGAGGTAGGGGATGAGGAGAGAAAGTAGATTTCTGTTCATTACACAATAAAACTTTAAAAAATTTTTGATAAATAAATTTAGGCAGAGATACTAACCTCTGCCTAAATGTTAGAAATTTTCCAAAATGGGGGCTCAGAACAATTGTGACTGAACTCATAATGTTTTTTCTAAAATAAAGTCTTATGGCCACAGAAGGAACCATCATATTGACCCTAAGGTTAAAATGAACTGCTTATTGTAACAAGATCTTACAAGTCTTTTCTTAAAATGTTAATACTTGCCTCTGATTTTATCTAAACTCCAACAATTGACTTCCAATGTATTTCCTAACTACTTCTCTTGGGAATAGTGGCTGATGTCACAGTGGTGAACCTAATGCGGAGTTGGGAAAATAAGGTACAAATTAACTTTATGTGTTCTGTGCTGGGAAAAGACTCATTCCTTTTCTACACATGAATTGGATGGGTTATGAGATCTTGTATAAAGAGGACTGCCTCCTCAGATCTGAAAGAGCCTGTATGATAAAAAGGAATGTGGTCAGTAGAGGTCACCTTTCCATTCAATATCCCCCAAACTTATAAAAGCCATTTATATTTTCCCCAACTCCAATGTAGTATTTGACAATTGACCCTTCAATTTAGTCAAGCATTCAACAAGCATTTATTAAGTGCCTACTCTGTGTAGGGCACCTTGCTAAGCACTGGGAATACAAAAATACAAATGAAACAGTCTGTTATCTTGAGGAACTGATATTCAACTGAATGTCTGCATAAAGCTGTCTTGAAAATAATAGCTAAGGAAAGTGAGGACTAGCTCCTCCTGCCATTACTATACCACAACTAAAAGTACACAGCATCTATTACACTTCCCTGACTATTAAAAGGGAAAAATTTGGCAAAAGATACATAAAAGGATTTGAGCACTTCAAGATGTTATTCTACTTATTGCCATTAGTAGATGACACCAAGCCTAGAAGCAATATTTTTTTATTAATTTATTTTGATTTATCAACAATCACTTCCATATGCTTTTGAGTTTAAAATTTTTCTTCTCCTTTCTCCCTACCACCCTCCTCAAGACAGTGCACAATCTGATATGGGTTATACACATACATTCCTATTAAATATATTTTCACATTAGTGATATTGTAAGTAAGAGTTAGAACCAATAGGAGGAACCACCAGAAACAGAAACAAAACTCAACAGAAGAGAAAAAAATAGCAAATAGTATGCTAGAAGCAATATTTTTAAAGTGTACTCACTTGCTCCAACAATCAATAGTTGTTCCCATTTTAAACATTAGGCCTCTGACCTCCCAAACCTTTTCATGCATCAAAATTTCCAAGTCTAAACTGAATATGGTATAATTTCTCTGAAGAATGAAATGTAATACCCAAATTGAAAAGTTAATAATTTACAGTGTGATGTAGTAGACAGAGAGCTTAGAGATGAAGTCTCACCTCTGACAGTATTTTGTGTGACCTGGAAAATCATTAAATCTCTCAGGACTCAAAGCTTGAACACCAAGTTGAAGAAGAGGTACTGACCTATATTGGGAGAAGATATTTCCTCATCTAGGAGTTCCCTCTATCAATGTAATTACAGGTCTAGTTCCTATTCCTAATTTATAACAAGTATGGTGGAAGGGACATATGATACCTCCTGTCTTGCAGACTAGCACCTGGCTATAGTCTGACCACTACTATTCAAAAGTTGCAGTTTTTGCCACTTTCCACCATCTCCCTTACTCCAGATACTCCTTTCCTGAAATCTCTACCTTTGATGAAAGGACATGGCCACAGGGGAGGGTAGTAAGGGGTGCTAAAAGTCTGTTATCCTCTGTCCCCTGACTGACTCGTGGCAACATCAACATTTTATTATTGCTTGTCTTAAATGTTATGGAAATATGTGTGTGGAGATAATTTTATTCCTTTACCTTCTAAATCTGCTGCGTCCTCCTCCTCCACAGACACTTCAGTCTCTAAATTCTCATATCTCTGTTCATCATCCAAGTACCCGATCATGTCATTTTCCCCACAGTATTCGGTGTACTCCACATCCACACAGGCTTCTTCCTCTGCTGATTCTGGATCTTCAACATATGCCACAGGTTCTAGATTATCCATTTCTCTTAAGTATAAATCAGCATCTGGACTCTCACCTTCCCATTCTTCGCCTGAGTACACAACAGCTTCTGGGTTTTCATAGGACTCTTCATCCTCTGAATACACTGTGTCTTCCAGTTCATCTCCTTCCTCTTCCTCCTCTCTGGAGAACAAAATGACTGCTGAATTACTAACTCCCTTGTTCCCCAAAGGCCCAGTAGGTTTTAGATCTTGGCTCTCCTCTTCTAAATACATAAAGACATCAGCGTTCTTGCACTGTTTATTTTCAGAGAGTAGAGTAACTTTTGAATTCTTGTTCTCTTCCATGAATATAGTAGTTTCTGCTTTCTCTTGTTTAACAAATTCTGGAAAATAAAATGGATTTTTCTCTCAAACTGAAAAAATGAATTTTCTAATGATTTGGGTTTTGATAACCTTCCACTAGAGAACAGAACCAGGAAGCCTCACTCACTCAGGTAGGACTTGTTCTTCGGCCAAAAATTTCTTTCTCCCACCCAAGGAAACCGGATAAGATTTACTGGACTCCTACAAATTTGCCATCTTTAAGGGACCTAGAGTTAATTAGAAATCTTGACCCATAAACCTTACGGAGGTCCCTAAGACCAACTCAATTTCTCTGGGCCACAGGCACCAGGGACAGCCTAGAGTTGATCCAAGCTTTGAAATCCCAAAATGAAATGGTAAATCTCAAAAATAAATAAAGCCTGCATTCCTGTGGCTGTCATAGAATCTGAAAAATAAAGGGACCTTCAGAAGTTACCTCTCTAGTGCTATATCTGTTTTTTTCAAAGCCTTCATTTAAAAAATGCCTGCTATATTTTTAAAGGTCTTTAGGAACAGAGATTCTACTATTTATTGGCAGCCTAGAGAAATATTAAACAATCTTTATTAAGGGAAATACCTACCAACTCCCTCCCCTACTGCAATTCCTCCTCTGGAGGAAAAAAAAAAGGATTATTATCTGTGTATCCTTAGGAAACTGAGAGAATAAAAGGAATTGTTTGTATTTCTTTAGGAAACTGGACTTACATTAATAGTCACAAAACCTATTCTTCAAATGTAAATATGTAACTGTGAGCTCATCATTTCCAAGACATTTCCAAAATAGTTAGTACGTAATAGCTAACAGTGTATGAAAAAATACATTTTTTCCTGCTAAAAATAACTGATCCTTATAATAATCAAGCTCCTAACCTTGCAAGTATTAGTAACATGCTCTAATCAAGTGATCTTAGTGTTGAAAATTTCCCAGATTCCCCTAATAAAAAAATCTATATTTTTAATATATAAAAAATATATAATAAAAAAATCTGTAATTTATTCTAACATAAATATAAATGTACACAATCAATACTATGAACCAATTAGAATTCTGGAGTAGAATACATGTGTGATAAGTTTACCATCTTCTATATTTGAACTGATTAAAATTAAGATTTTAGGAACCCCGTTTATATTGAAGTTGCATGCCATCTTCCATCTATGCCACTCAAACTAATCTATAGAGAAAGAGTACAAGCTTCTTAGGGAGGTAAAGTGTGCAGCTCACTCAAAATGAACTTACTCTGAACCAAAAAGAAATTTATCTGTAGGATAAAGATAGGAAAAATGTAAAAGCAAACTATTTAAATGCATTATTTCTTCAGAAAATCTGACTAAAAAAAAAAAGTAAAATCTCAACTCACCAAGGACAGACCACCAACTGGTTGCTGAGTTGGGAAAAGCACTATGTAAACACTCAAGGAACTGCTGACAGCTTTTCTCTCCCTTTTTCTGTATCAGAATTAACATCTTCCTACTTTTCTTCAGTGGGTCTGTGACAGTCTCCAAGATCTCATACTCCTCTTCAGAAATTAGGCTCTGAGAAGCTAATGTATCTAACAAAGAATCAGGATCTTGCTGCAGAATTTTAACTAACTTTTGTCTTTCTTTTTCAATGATTGCAGAAGCCATAATCGGAGTAGTCATTGTTCCTCTTTTCACTCAACCTGGAAACAGATTGTGAAAGTAGTTCAGAAGCAGTCATCTGAAATGAGACAGTCTGGCTTTTAATAGATCCATACAGTTGATAGTAATTTACCCATGACATTAAAATCCACCGATTCTCCCAACATACATTCACACCATCTCTTGCCCTCAACTATGTATTTCACATATCCCTTGCTCTCAGCTATGTATTTCTATGTACAATACCTCCACTTTCTCAACACCCACCACATCCTTCAAAAAAAAAAAGTAATAAACAATAATTGACACACTTACATAGTACTTTGAAGTTAGCAAAGTATTTTGCAAACATTACTTCTTTCCATCTTCACAACAATCCCGTAAAGCAGGACCTGTCTTTAGGGGACAGAAACCAGATTGCCAGGGTTAAGAAATCAGTTGCCAGTGAGTCAGTGGTCAGGCAGGGCTGAATGTCAGTTCTTGCAGAATGTAAACTCCTTAAAGGGGAAGTGTTTCATTTTTGTCTTTACCCAGATCACCTTACATATAATAAGCGAATAATAAATGCTAAATTATGTTGAATTGAGTGTAGCAAATCCATTCACAGAGCCCACAGAGCAGAAGTGTCATACATGCCAGCCAGTAAGACACCAGAACAAGATTAAAATGTAACTGGAAAATATTTAACAAAATAAGTAAAAATACAAGAGAACACAGATAATGGAAGTATGTGGTTTTCTAAGTCAATAAGGCCAGAAAGGATTCTTATATTTGAGTTTGACACCATCTCAATGGAGTATTATTGTAATGCCCATTTCCTCAGTGGATAAACAGTGACTTTTTTAAAAAGTTTCATTGCTATCTTTTGTTTTATATCATCTACATTTCCCAGAGCAAAACCAACCAATATATTGAAAAAGTCTGACATTTGTTTATATATATATACACACATATATATATATTTAATTCTGTTCCAAAGCACTTTTAAAATATTTTATTTTTTCTCACAATACCATTGGAAGGTAGACACTATTATTATTCCCATTTTACAGGGATCAGGAAACTGAGGCAGAGGTTAAGTGACTTGCCCAGGATCATACAACTAGTGTTTGAGACAGGACCTGAAATCAGGTCTTCCTGACTCCAAGACAAAAAGCACTCCATCTACTGGGTCCCATCATTCCTAGTTCTACAAAGAAGGGAGATGCTTTTTCATATCTTTTCTTTGGTAATATCTTTTTAAGTTTGGTCATTATTACTTCACAGCATTCAGTTTTATTGTTCTTTCAATTTACATTGTTGTAATCATTGTGTATATTTTTCCTGATTCCCTTAAGTTCATTTTGTATCAGTTCAGTCTTCCCATGCTATTCCCTTCTTGAAAGGATAAATTATCAAAGAATTTGAATAGAAAATTTCTAAAGAGGAAAGAAATGATTAATGATCGTTTCTAAATACATTTAATTAAAACTCTTTAATTATTAGAAAATTAAAATTAAAATAGCTGTGATGTAGCATTTTTTCTCCTTCCTAACTTTCCTATTTCTGTCAAAGGGACCACCATTCTCATCAGCCAGGTTCATAATTTCAGTACTATGTAAGAAATAATAATTGTAAAGCACTTAGTACCTACAGTACCTGGAACATAGTAAGAGCTCCATAAACGTTAGCAATTATTATTAACTATAGCTTTGTTTATATTAATATACATATATAATTTCCTCACATAGACTGTAACATCCTTGAAAACAGGGGCTGCTTCAGTTTTTCTTTTTATCTCCATCACCCAGGACAGGGAATGGTGGAAAAGTCAAAAAAGTCCCAAAGTTGTGCAAAGAGACAGATGTTTGGAGTTGAGCCCCCTTCTCAAACTGAGGTTTTAGAATTTATAGTTCCATCCTCCAATCAGAGGGACAGAGAGCAGTGACAAAGTAGAGAAGCAACAAAGGTAATAGGAGCCCATTTATGCCCCCCCATCCACCATTCTATAAGGCTTTGAGTAACTATAATTTTATTGTATCTTATGCTTTTATTTGGATGGGGGGGGGTTGGTTGTTGAGGATGTTATTAGTGAATTCCCTCCACAATCACTTCCTCCACCTAAAGGTGGAGATTATGACTCAATAAATTCTTGGGAGTGAGGTGAGACACACAAAGCTAAAGTGAATGGTGTCAGAAGAGATTTGAAGCCAGATTTTCCCAATTCCAAGACCAACCCAGAGGTCTGTTCGTATCAGGCTGCCTCTTGTGGAGGTTACTTAATGTATAATAACGAATTAAATATATATAGGTACAACCAGGACAAAGGAGTAACAATGCCTTCAAAACTTCAGAAAGCTTGAGCCTCCATCCTGTACCACATTTGGAAGTTTCTTTGCTTCTTCTTATGGAGATTTCCATTATTAAATCTTTTTTTAAAATAAGCCACAACCTATTGTTATTAAAAGCAACTGTTTGTGTGACAACACACCGGCCAAGTCTATAGTTACAATGGGCTTTAGTTTTATACGATTAGTACTCAAAGTTGTCTATACTTTGGGATGCTCTTTGGTGACGCCCTGCTGCCCCTCTTCTCTAAATATCTAGCCAAAATATTTAGTATCTAGATACTTACATGTTCCCAAGGAATCCCTAAGGGATTCCTAGTTTAGGATTCATTGACTCCAGTCAAATAGTTTATTTAATTCAACAAGGACCTTAATTGTTTAATTCAACAAGGACCTTAAAATGCTTCAGGCACTTTATTAGGCAAGGGGTTACAAAGACATAAAAAGGAAGAGTTCTAGCCTTCGAAGTGCTTATATTCTATATATTTTTTAAAATCCTTGTTGCACACCAAAAATTAAATATAAAATACAAAACAATTATATACAAAGTAATTTGTGGAGTGGCTCCAGTGGCTTTTTCTTGGGTCACTAGAAACTGGAGTAATTAGTACGAATTTCAAGTAGGAATGGGTGCTTGAACTGAGTTTTGAAGGAAGCTAGAGATTCAACAAGGTCAAATAAAAAGGAAGTACATTCCAGATATGACAATCCTCCAGTTTAAAGGCAAAAGGTAGGAAATAAAATGGCCTTACAGGGATTTGTAGGTTTTAACAGCCCGTTTGTCTGAAGCCTATGAGTGTGTAATATGAAATCAGGAAATATCTTGCTGGGGTTCTTGGGCTCTTTTTTAACTTTTTTTTTACGGACTCCTTTGGCAGTTTAGTGAAGCCTATGGATCCCTTCTCACTAGTTTTTAAATACATAAAATAAAATCTATAATATTACAGTGGAAACCATTTACACTGAAACAGTTACCGCAATACTAAACAAGACAAGTTCGAAGTCCTCAGGTTAAGAATTTCTGCTGATATCACAGATGATGAGTCGGAAGGGTCCTCAGAGGCCATCCGGTCCAGGGGCTCTTTATCCGGGATTTGTGAAGGTTTACTTTTCGAATATCTTTACAACTCTATTTCAACATATTGGTTTCCTTCGTAATCCAATGAATTTTATTTAATGCATTAAAAAACTTTATTCTGAGAAAGGATCTATAAGCTTCACCAGAACATCAAAAGGATCCATGATTCAAAAAAAGGTTAAGAACCCCCGCCCGAATGCTAAAGCGCTTTGTAAAGCGCTTAGCACACTGCTGAGCACACAGCAGGAGCTCGACAAATGCTTTCTTTCGCTTTCCTCTTTCCTAATCTAGTTCAAAGCCCTCATTTTGCAAAAGGGGAAACTGAGGGGCAGAGAGGGGTAATGGCCCAAAGCCACGGCGGCTCCTCCCTCCATCCAAGTCCCGTCCCCCCGCGGCTGCAGCCGGCCTGGGCAGAGTCTTAAACCTGAGAAGCCGGTGTTTTATCCCGGGGGACCCGCGCTGTCTTCGCCTCCGGGAGGCCGCACACGGACCGGCCGGCTCGCGCCAGCGCCCACTGTGGACAGTGACCTGGCGACAGAGGAAACAGTGACAAGACCCGGAAGCCACACAGGTCGCAGTGATACAACTGGACCTACATCCAGGAACCGGAAGGGAGGCGGGGCCTGACAGACAAGACAGACAAGAATTCGGACCAATCGGCGCTGAGCCCAGGTCAGTTCCTCTCCTTACCCTCCCCCTCTCCCTGTCCTTCTCCTTTCTCCTCCGGCGGAACCTTTTCCAGGGTGCACCGTGACCGACGGAAGTGTTACCTCAGCGGAAGCCAGGCGAACTTGATATAGCGGAAGTGTTCTTTCTCTTCCGTTCTTTTTGGTCCCGGCGGCAGGAGTAAGATGGTAGGTTTGCCTTCGGGTCGAAATGGTATCTGTATCCATCCTCCCTCCCCGGGTGGCTGCGACGGCCAGCAATGGCTGCAGTGGCGTCTGCGGGCATCGAGGAGGGGGATCCGGCGGAAAGCCGGGAAGGGGAGCTTGAAATCGAAAGTCTGGGCCCGGAGGAATTCCAGGGGCGGCTTTTCCTGGGACTGAGCCCTGGTTCCGGTGAAGCTTCACGGCCCACCCGGGCGGGAGCCCCACGTTGTCCTTAGAGGTCGGAACGCGGCCTAGTCCGGAGACTGCCACGGTCTGGTCGGGCTCTTTGGTCATACCGAGGACCCAGGCGTGGAACAAATGACCGACCCGGCCCGATGTAGTGGGGAATGGGAAGGTTTGGGAGAGTTAAGGATTCTGATGGTGTGAGGGTGTCCTAAAGAGAGAATAGCGTTTACCTATTTCCCAGCTCTCCCTTTCTGCGGCAAAATAACCCTGTCAAGTTCCCAGCATTGGAGGAGAGGCATTGCATGATCAGATGGAGTTGCTTCAGTGAGATTTGAAAATTAAGTAGCTGGCCAGGCACAGATCCTTTGGAATCTGTGTCTCATTTTAACATCACAGCGCACAGAGTTTGCTGCCATATTTTGTTGGGATGAATTGTGCTGCATCACAGTTTCAAATATTTGTTTTCTAGACGAAGGGGACGTCTTCGTTTGGTAAGCGCCGGAATAAGACGCACACTTTGTGCCGTCGTTGTGGTTCTAAGGCATACCATCTTCAGAAGTCAACATGTGGCAAATGTGGATATCCTGCTAAACGCAAGAGAAAGTGTAAGTTTCTCATTGTAGTGGGTATTCCTTTTTGGGGGGGGTAGTACTTGGTAGTTGCACAGGCTTGGTCCATTAAAAATAGTTCCCGTTCCATGTGTACAAATTGAGTAAGGAAGGAGTGAGGTTTAGTGGAGTTTAAAGTCGTTAAGGCAACTGCTTCAAGAGAGTCATTTCTTAGGAAAATATAACACTTTGACATGGAAAAGCAGGGTACAATAGAAAGAATGTTGGACTCTTTAAGTCAGAGGAGGTGGATTCAAATCACTGCTCTGTTGTGTGATCTTGGACAAAATTGTTTAACTGCACTGAACCTCAATTTCCTCGTCTGTGAAATGGGTGGAGATGTTAGGTGACTGACCTACCTCTGAGACTTCTAAATCTAGATTCCTAAAGATAGTAGAGAAATTATTTGCCTGAATATTTTTAATTGGAAGAAAAGCTTTAAGGTATAAAGTTTTTTCTTTCGAAACACTGGAAAGGAATGATTAGTATAAAAGATGGACGTAAATAATTTTACTTAATTTGTACAGCAAAAAAAAAAACTTAAACGTTTTAGAGAGGAAATCTTTGAGGTGGTGCAAGTTTAGTACTCATTAAGGCACTACTGGTTACTGAAGAACTGTTGATAATCCCTTGGGAAAATAAAACACTAACCAAAGCTGCAGGTTAAAATAACTTTGAAATTTTACCATTAGAATAAGTGTTAGCTTTCTTCAAGACTCAACTGAAATGTCAACCTTTTTAAGGGAAACTTTGATTTCTTTAGTTTTTTTCCTCCTAATCCTCACGATTATTTTGTATATATTATCTGCATGATCCCCACCCCCGTCCCTCTGACAACAGGAACTGGTTTCCCCCTTTGTATCCCTGGAACTTTGCTTGTGAGCTTAATTTTTTTTTTTTTTTTTAAGTTGTTTGGGCAGTGGGGGAAACAGCTGTAATTCTGGTGTATTCAGTTTGACCCAGTGAGTCCACTACTTAGGACTATTCTGTGGACTGTGGGGATGTGCATAATACCAAAAAATGTAATTTTTTTTTAAGTGAACCGAACAATTTGAATACCCTGACTTAATTAACCAAAAATGTAATGCAAATAGAAATGGTCGAGAGTCTACACATCTGATGTTTTGTTGATATTTATTTCTCCTTGTTGAAGTAGGAGTGTGATTATTTTATGCCTTTATCACCTTTAAGGAGTATTGATGAAAACTTGGTAACAGCTAGAAGGGGTCATTGAAAATAATATTGGGGGGGAGGCAGCTAGGTGGCTCAATGGGTAGAGCACTGGCCCTGAAGTCAGGAGGATCTGAGTTCAAATGCATCCTCAGACCAAACACTTGACACTTATTAGCTGTGTGACCCTGGGCAAGTCACTTAACCCCAATTGCCTTAAGAATAATAATAGGGAAATAAGACTATTTTGAGACTTGAAGGCTTGAATTATTTTTATTTTTATGTTCTAGATAATTGGAGTGCAAAGGCTAAGCGACGCAACACCACTGGTACTGGTCGAATGAGGCACCTAAAAATTGTCTATCGCCGATTCAGGTACAATTTTATGTTTTCTTGTTGAGTTTTAAAAACAGAACAAAATCATGAATAGTTCCTCTTGTGTTTAAGTAGAATCTTCTTAAGGGTATTATCTCCAACAATGACTTGGAGTTTTTGGATAATTTATGAGTTACTAAAAATGGGCTTTACTTTTTTTTTCTCCTTGCTTCATGAAATAGGGTATCCAGTGAAAAGCAAAGAACTTAATGTGAACTGTCAGCATACCATTTGCCAGAGTTCTCTAGGAGGAAGTTTCCCTATGGGGAACTCCCAGCATGCGTCTTAAGTGTTGCATTCTGGGTCACCCAAGATATAAGTATACCTATCAAAATGGGTGTGGGCCCTGAATTCTAGACAAATAACTCAATACAAAGCATTAGAGGGATACAAAATAGTTATAAATAATCCACAAAGGCAGTGCTTTGAGGAGATTCAGTTTGTATTTGTTTTTTCCCATTCTACGAGCATTAAAGTATTTTATAGTCATTGGATTTTTAAAAATAAATTATACTGTTCAGTATAGTGTTCCTGAAACATTACTCTTTCCTTTTTAAAAAACGAGTAGGCTAGCAGTTGGAAGTTTGTCTTAATGAGAGAAAACTGGAATTGTTTGCAGCTTATCCATGATGCACTTTAAAAAATGTCTGAACATATGAATTAATAGTGATTTCAGCATTTACCTGAGATAAGCTAAGTGAAATATTTTTTAGAATATACTTTTAAAAAAACCTAAAAAACTAAAACAATTTTTAAATTTATTTTCTTCAAATGCCATAGGAATGGATTCCGTGAAGGAACAACACCTAAACCCAAGAGAGCAGCTGTTGCAGCATCTAGTTCATCTTGAGGATTCAACTGTTTGTTAAAATAAATGTCCTGAATGAAAAAAGTAATTGTGGTCAGTTTCATTTGATCAATTAATCACCTTAGTCAAATTATTGGGTTTTTGTATAATTTGGTGGGTTCTAGCTTGTGGATGCTTAATAACCAAGAGCTGGACTTAGTAATATGATTTCATGTTAGATCATTTTGCTCTTTGTTTGTGACTTAAGATGTGAGATGTTAGTGTTAGGCCACATCCCACCCCCACATGCTTTTGCTGTGTAATTCACGGGCACTTGCCACTCACGTCCAGTACCTATTTTATGGGGTTGTTGTGAAGTTTAAATGAGATGGTGTATGTAAATGTGTTACAAACTTTGAAATACTATATAAATATTAGACTGACTTTCTAACTAGACTCCTTTTTGTGCTGTTAGTAAAGCAACTTGATATCTGGCAAGAAGGAGCCAGAGATGTTTTCACAGCTCTAAATTAGCTTGGATTGTGCTAGCAAAGCTTAAACTGCAAAGGTGACAAAGCACAGTGGAAAGTGTTACATTTGGAATCAGGGCATCTGGGTCTATTCCAGCTCTGCTAGCTATTTCCTTTATTCATCTCATACAATATGCCACTGGAGTGTGTTGGTTGTCCATCTCTAATTCCTCAGTCTCATTACACATAAACCTTGTATGTAGATAATGCAGTGTTTATATTCCATTTACAGGATAGGGTATCCACCTTGTTTTAGATAAATGACTTCTGTATTAAGAATGTATTTGGAAAGTTTACAGAATTTTTATTTTATTAAATTGAAACTTAATGTGTCGCAATGGAATTTTAAATACTAGAATGGGTTTCTTGCGTTTTAGGGGAAGGGGCAGTTGAATTATACATTGCTTATTAGTCTTCTGAGGGATGAGGTGTTGGTAATATAAATGCAAAACTTATCCTTACCTTTTAAAGGAAGTGGAATATTTTACCACTGAGTAAAGGAATGCTTTGTAGGGCAAGTAGCTAGCAGGGCGGTTCCATTGCTGATGTATTGGTGACCTCAGTCTCCATGGTTTCTTTATAATTTTGTCCAGGAATATTCA